TCAAATCACATCACTGAGTTTGAAATTCATGATCTCACGGTGTATATCAGACCTAGATATGGTACAGGTTCTGTGGATGCTTCTCTTTTTGATCTGGAGATTTGCAAATTAAAAAGACATGCAATTTGCCTTTCACACACACACAGTGGTAAGAGAGGGACGTGGTAACTGCAATGGGCACTGAATAGTAAGAGTAGAGACAGGAGCACCGAGGTCACTGGTCCAGAGCAATTCTGAAATCCAGCTGATTACCTATTAGGGCATCAGGTTAAGCCCAATTCTGTCCCTCACAACAAACTGTGGAAAATTCTTCAAGAGATGGGAATACCAGACCACCTGACCTGCCTCTTGAGAAATCTGTATGCAGGTCATGAAGCAACATTAGAACTGGATATGGAACAGCAGACTTGTTCCAAATTGGGAAAGGAATACATCAAGGTTGTATATTGTCACCCTGGTTATTTAACTTATATGCAGAGTGCATCATGTGAAATGCCAGGCTAGATGAAGCACAAGCTGGAATCAAGATTGCCTGGAGAAGTATCAATAACCTCAGATATGCATATGACACCACCCTTATACCCTTATGACAGAAAGCAAAGAACTAAAGAGCCTCTTGATGAAAGTGAAAGAGGAGAGTGAAAAAGCTATCTTAAAACTCGACATTCAAAAAACTAAGATCATGGCATCCAGTCCCATCACTTCATGGCAAATAGATGGGGTAACAATGGAAACAGTGACAGACTTTATTTTCTTGAGCTTCAAAGTCACTGCAGATGGTGAGGGCAACCTTGAAATTAAAAAATGCTTACTCCTTGGAAGAAAAGCTATGACCAACCTAGACAGCATATTAAAAAGCAGAGACGTTACTTTGCTGACAGAGGTCCTATGGTCAAAGCTATGGTTTGTCCAGTAGTCATGTATGGATGTGAGAGTTGGACTATAAAGAAGGCTGAGTACCGAAGAATTGATGCTTTTGAACTGTGGTGTTGGAGAAGACTCTTGAGAGTCCATTAGACTGCAAGGATATCCAACCAGTCCATCCTAAAGGAAATCAGTCCAGAATATTCATTGGAAGGACTGATGCTGAAGCTGAAGATCCGATACTTTGGCCACCTGATGCCAAGAACTGACTCATTGGAAAAGACCCTGATGCTGGGAAAGATTGAACGTGGGAGGAGAAGGAGGTGACAGAAGATGAGATGGTTGGATGGCATCACTGACTCAATGGACATGAGTTTGGGTAAACTTCGGGAGTTGGTGATGGACAGGGAGGCCCAGTGTGCTGCAGTCCATGGGGTGGCAAAGAGTCAGACACGACTGAGCAACTGAACTGAACTGAACTGTTCCTCAAATGTAATTCTCCAATTCATGATTTTCCATGGTTTGGGGTTTTGCCCTCTCTGGATGCTTCCCTGTGAAACTCTTTCCCATAAGAAGTAGCCCATGTTCTCATCAGAGCAGTTTTCTCAGACTCCTTCTTGACTGTAGAAAATTGAGAACTCCAGAGGTATCTTATCTCTTTTAATGATTTATGCCCCTTTATGCCTCTTGTGTAATATCTTTAAACTTTTTGTGGTCCTTCTGCAAATCTGATTGTTATTCACTCCATGTCCCAAAAGTCACGACTATAATTCTTTTCAAGAGAACTCTCTCCACTTTTGTCCAAGTATACATTTGCAGTGAAATAACACTTTTGAGATTTTTAGAAGTGTTTCTTCCTAGTTGAGAGAATCTGTTAATTTGAGGTCTAAACAAAGGGTCTTATGACCGAATCTTTGATTTACTCTTTACCCTGAGGCCACTTTTCATTTTGAGTCTTGTGCCTGCTGGAGAGCCTGGAAATATTAAACAGTGTTATTTTTTGACCACATAAGTCTGGATTGGAAATTCTGTTCACATACTGAATAGTTCTCTCTTTAGCTCAATTCCGTCTTTCCATACCTTATCATATACAAGTAACAGAAGCCAATTGGCACTTGCAATATTCTGCCTAGAAATGTTATCTGCATGTGCAGGTTAATTTGGTACATTTTTTTCCTCAGGTAAATGCAAACAGTTGTTTTGCCACTTGTTTCATTACTACAAAACATGGAGCACCATCTTTTAAGCCTCTGGTATCAGTTTTATCCTTGCACTTCCTGCCTTCATCTATAAGCTCCTCATTATCCTTCCAGCATCCCCCTTTGCCCCATGAAAAACCCAGCAACTCATGCTTTTTTACAGCAGTGCTCTATTTCCAAACCACTTTTCTGTTTTACTTATCTATCTATGAAAACAAAGTCCCGTAAAATGGGATGGATATGCAAAGCACTCTACAAATTTGAAGAATAACTTTTATTATTATTTAAGAGGACATTCTGAGGATATAAAAACTGGTCTGTTCTGTGAAAATGGTAGAAAGAGTGTGAATACCAACCTATTAACATTGTTCACTGATTTTTTTTCCCTTGAAATGTGATATCAGAGACCTTCAATGTCTGCATCCCCTCCAAAGGTGTAGTGCAAGAGAACTGAGAAAACAGGTGTTTTGTTTTTTTGTTGTTGTTCGGTCGTGTCTGGCTCTTTTGCGACCCCATGGACTGCAGCACCCCTGGCTTCCCTGTCCTTCACTATCTCCCGGAGTTTGCTCAAACTCATGTTCATTGAGTGGATGATTTCATTCAACCATCTCACCCTCTGTTGCCCTCTTCTCCTCCTGCCCTCAATTTTCCTCAGCATCAAAGTCTTTTCTAATGAGTTGACTCTTTACATCAGGTGGCCAAAATCTTGGAGCTTCAGCTTCAGCATCAGTCCTTCCAATGAATAGTCAGGGTTAATTTTCTTTGGAATTGACTGGTTTGATCTTCTTGCTGTCCACAGAACTCTCAAACTCTTCTCCAGCATCACAGTTGTGAAGCCTCAAGATGTGTATTTAATTAGAGAGTTGATTGAAAATGCATTTAACTCAGCTGGTAAAGAATCCTCTTGCAGTGCAGGAGACCTGGGATTGATCCCTGGGTTGAGAAGATCACCTGGAGAAGGCAAAGGCTATCCACTCCATATTTTGGCTTAGAGAATTCCATGGGATGTATAGTCCATGGGGTCGCAAGGAGTTGGACACAACTAGCGACTTTCACTTTCACTTTAGGCAAATTTAGGAAAGATGGGTTGTTCTACATTTGCTCCTGGGAATGGGTTTCAGTAACAAATATAAAACAGGGATTTAGAAGAGCTGGTTCCCAGTGGCATCTCTGACACCAGGTGGATGACCTGGGGCAGCCACCTCCTTGCTCTGTGTTCGCATTTGTGATGTGGCAAAGTTTAGCCACCTGCTCTCCATCATCTCCCCTAATCTTAACAGTCAATCACAGAATAAGTTGAGCCTTGAAACAAATCTCTATTTGGAGTCTGGACTCGGCATCAAAAGAAGTCAGTGTTACTATTTGGGAAAACTCCAGAGACAATTTTCATAAAACATCTAGAGTTATTTTAGTGCAGTACCATAATAGTCCTAAGTTTTTCTTTATTAGTAAACTTGTTCACACAGTACACTGATGGGGTAAACCTCTTCCTAAAAATATGTTGATCACCCTCAGAGATTAATGTGATTTGGGTGATTAATCTAGCTTCTATTTTAATTGCATGAAAGAGTTAAATGTTCCAGCTGAATTGTGAATAAACTTTCCACTTAATAAACACAAGGGCAGTATGCACAAGATAATCTGTATGTCTGGATCTGAATCTATTTTATCATTTTATCTTATTCTCCGAGGAGTTATCTTATTCTCAGGCTAGGAAATGTTCACAAAGCATGGTCTCTGTGGATTAACTGAACATCTCTCCAAAGACAGGAAAGGAGAGAGAATCCTTTCTGCTGCAAAATGAATTCAACTCTCCAAATTGACAGTGCAGTTTCTTTCCGAGGCACTTAATTATTTACCAGATGATTGTGGCTTGTAAGAAGATTCAAACTCAGGAACTGAAAGACTCACACCACCTCTGAGACCTTACTAAGCTTAACATTAGTTTAAATAACAGCAAATATAACAGCTAATGTCTCTTTGGGGCTATACTGCTTGAAAAATATATAAATTTGATCAAATAAATTAGTTCCATTGAGCTTTATCTTTACAGTCTGCCAAATGGTAAAAAATAATACATAATGAATATACTTTGTGGACTGTAAATTGCTATTAATATTTGAGAGCTTATTTTCATTCATAGTGCTATTGCAATTTCTTTCTTTCTACTGAAGACTTTTTAAATGAATAATGAAAAAACTTGAATTAAGCAAGTTTTATTATTCTGTATACATCAATTAAGATATTTTGAAAAACTGATAGGTAATAATATTATGTGTTTAATTTATTCCAAAGGGGGGAGGTCATTATATCTTTTTAAGAAATATGCTACATAGTAAATGCTTTACAATTTAAGGAATAATTCCCCCAAATTTAACTTTAAATTCATGTATAATTGTTAATGAAATCTACATATGAATAAGTGGGCCTGATTGGTAAAAAGTCACAGAAAATGGCAATAATTGTAGAGCCGCTGGCTATCAAGTGCCCCTGGACTCAGAGGGCAGCAGTTATAGGGGGCATGATCTAAGTGTACAGTGGTTATCGTGGGAGCACTATCATATTTTGTGAAATGAAGAAAGAAGCCCAGGAATTGTCACAGAATGTGCTCATAAGGCAGGATGCCCAGTCATTACATGGAGAAATTCCACAGAAGCAAAGGGAAATCACCCTGAAAGGTTTTAGAAAAGGTAATTCTGGAGTTTTCTTCACAACTAATTTTGCTGCACATAGTTTAGACATCCCTGAGGCTGGTTATTCTAAGTTCTCCACCAAAGGACGTGGAGTCCTACATTCATCATTCTGGATAAACAGGTGGAGCTGGAAGGACCAGGGTTTGCATTTGCTTTTATAAGAACAAGGAAGAATACTAGTTAGCCCAAGGGGAGCAAAAACCGGGAATTAAATTTAATCAAATAGGTGTTCCTTCTGCAGCAGAGATAATAAAAGCTTCTAGGGAAGATGTCATCAGGTTCTTGGACTCGGTGCCTCCCACTGTGATTGGTCACTTCAAGCAGTCAGCCAAGAAGCTGATTGAGGAGAAGGGAGCCCTGGAAGCCCTGGCAGCCGCCCTGGCCCACATTTCCAGTGCCATGTCGGTAGACCAGCACTCCTTGAGCAACTGGGATGCAGGCTTTGTGACCATGATGTTGCAGTGCTCAATGGCAATGTCAAGCGTTAGTTATGCTTGGAAAGAACTTAAAGAGCAACTGGGTGAGGATATTGATTCCAAAGTGAAGGGAATGGTCTTTCTAAAAGGAAAGCAGGGTGTTTGCTTTGATATTCCTACTGGGTCAGTAAGTATAGGAAAAGTGGCATGCGTCAAGGCACTGGCAGCTTTCTGTGGCTACAGAGCAATCAAAGCTAGAAGGACCACAGGAGCGACATTGCAACTGCTGAGGACAGCGGGAAGACAACAGAAGCTTCAGGGGACAGCGTGAGGGCAAGCGAGGTAACAGGACAGTGGGAAGAAGTAGGAGCTTCAGAGCACAGTGATCAGGAGGCAGCAACAAAAGTAACAGATTCCAACACAAAGGCCAGAAGCAGAGACTTAATAAAGCATTCGGACAGTACTTTGAAGTAGAGGATTTATTTGGGAAAAACAGAACTATGTTCAGCAACATGGAACTGAACATGGTTTCTCATACCACATTAAAAGCACATTGTATTTCCTTCCTGATCACTTACTTGCCCAGTCCCCACCTCTTTGAGAGAGATAAGCTTCATCTAAATTATTTCATCTGATTGATGATAGTCATTGATAACTTTATTGTTACTTCCGTCTCAGGTATTCCTTTGGAAAAGTGTATGGACTCATTACATATTCTAATGTATTGTCTACAGATTATAAGACAAAGTCAGGCATGTATCCGCGGATACTTTTTAAGCTGGCCTGTTTTTATGCTCAGGCATGTTTCAGAATAGTAGACTTCCCTGCTGTCTCAGATGGTAAAGAATCTGCCTGCAATGCAGGAGACTCATGTTCAATCCCTGGGTCAGGAAGATCCCCTGGAGAAGGAAATGGCAACCCACTCCAGTACTCTTGGCTAGAGAATTCCATGAACAGAGGAGCCTGGCAGACTACAGTCCATGGGATCTCAAAAAGTCAGACACTACTGAGCGACTATCAGTCACTCACATAAAAGTGAACCTCCAAGTACCCATATCTCCATTGTTTACTCATTTAAATGAATTTCAAATTTAAAAAAAATTCTAAATTACATTATATCAATAATTTTCATGCATTATGTATTATCAGTATCTCTGACTAGTTTGGTAGATAGATTTCTAGAAGTTTCTGAGCTTATTGGACCAAAGTTATGGACTTGCCACAAATTGACAAATTATTTTAAGAAAAGTTTGGGCCAATCTGTGCTCTAACAGATAAATTGCTAGAATTCTCTTTACAGTACATGGTCCTACCATTAACATGTTTCCAAACATATTTCTAATTTCTCATGCAAAACAGTATTTTATTGTTTCAATTCACATAGCTTTTGTTATATTAGAGCCACACTGTTCAGAACAGTAGCCATTGGCCATATAATTTAAATTAATTAAAGTTAAAGAAAATTAAAAATTCTGTTTCTTAACCACATCATATTAGATAGACAGTACAGAACATCGCAAATGTTTCTGCTGCTAAAGAGGCTAGACTTTATGTTCTATGTTAATTGATTATAACTATCCGTTTTCAATTGCAAGTGACAGACACAGACACATAACTAAGAACTGTTTAAAAATAAAAATAAATTTCAAGAATGTGTTAGTATATTATTTTAAACAATCTACCCCCTGCCCACCCTACACACATCAGTCACCTCTTAAATCTTGTCTTTTTCTTAGTTTTGCCCTGTTCTCCACTTGGGGCAAAGAGCATGGTTTGTGGTTTATCATGTCTGCATAGCTAGTTTTCCCATTAAAGTTTGGACTTGACTTATTTTAATCATCTAATTATAGGACAATTTTAAAGGTTTATTTAAAAAAAAAGTTTACATTATTCCATTTTGCCATCTGCAAAATAATTACACTCGGTGTATTCACATTTCTTATACAGATCACTGGAATATTTTTGTTTGTTCATTGTTTTTTTTTACATTTTATAAATGAACACTGTCAAATTTATAGCTAGGTACTTTGCATTGCCATTCCTTGTCTCAATGTAGTTATTTAAAAAAATATTTTATAAAAACTTATGGCTAATTTCTAAAAATATATTTTAATTTTTGTATCTGCTTTTTACCTAGTTATTTTCTGTAACTAATTTTTTGAGTGCAGTAGATTTTTCAGTTTCTTCTTTTGTGATATCTAACATATAATCTAAGTATTATCTTTGAATTATATTTCATTATAATTTGATATATATATATATATATATATATATATATATATATATATATATAATATGTCAGTCTATCTGAGTATAATCTTTGAATTATCTGTGGACTGCTTTTCTGTTTTGTTTTGACTAGTTCTGATTATAGTCATCCTTGTCTTTTTCATTCACTGGAACATTCTGACCTATTTTAAAATTTTTTATTTAAACCTTAATAATATTTCATTCAGTTTTTTACTTTATAAAATCACCTTGAAAAGATCTAATACAGATTTTAAGTGCATTTTAGAAATGTCTACTTGATCACATATGAGACAACTTAAAAATAAAGTGTTTGTAGATATACAGTATTTTTTCAAATGTTTTGGGTTACCAAAATGAGTTTCTTTAGGAGAGGACAAAAAAATAAAGAAAATCTGCAACTCATAGGAAACAAAAATAGTTTCAGTTATTTGGTCAAAGGGCAAGGCAATGAATAAGCATGTAAAGTCTTCAGTGTCATTTAAAAAAAAAATCTAATTGCCAAATTTTCACTTTTTTTCTCCTTGTTGGATGGCTAAACAGGAAGAGGGTAGTGTTGGTAAGCCGGCATTTACTCAGCTGCATCCTGCTTGGCCTCAGGAGCAAGGTGAGCTCAGCTGGGGGCTGGTGCTCTGTCTCTCAGCCACCTCCCAAGTGAGGGTCCCCTGGACTCCTGAGCTGCAGTCTTGAGGGGACTGCTGCCCGCAGGTGGCTTCTCCCACATCACCCTTTCTTCTCTTCCCAGTCCTCTCTTGGCTGCTTTAGTGAGAAGCCATGCAGGTACATGGCTGACTTTGTACCACACCCAGGTCATCAACATCCTCAATTTCTACTTCCTCCTCTTGTATGCAGGGATTGAAGAACTAGCTTGACTTCAAATCTTCCAACTGGTCAGCCCTGACCATGGCAGACTTAGAAGCAGTCTGAAATTCCTTTGGGGGATGAATTTTATGGGAAAGTCAACACTAACTGCATGAACTCTTCTTGCCACTGTTTTCAGTTCAGTTCAGTTTAGTCACTCAGTCATGTCCAACTGTTTGTGACCCCACAAAACACAGGGTGCCAGGCCTCCCTGTCCATCACCAACTCCTGGAGTCCACCCAAACCCATGTCGATTGTGTCAGTGATGCCATCCAACCATCTCATCCTCTGTCGTCCCCTTCTCCTTCTGCCCTCAATCTTTCTCAGCATAAGGGTCTTTTCAAATGAGTCAGCACTCCACATCAGGTGGCCAAAGTATTGGAGTTTCAGCTTCAACATCAGTCCCTCCAATGAACACTCAGGACTGATCTTCTTTAGGATGGACTGGTTGGATCTCCCTGCAGTCCAAGGGACTCTCAAGAGTCTTCTCCAACACCACAGTTCAAAAGCATTAGTTTTTTTTTATTTTTATTTTTTTTATTAAAAAACAAAATTCTTCTTTGGAGGGGACAATATCCCAAGATACAAGGATGCTCAATTTGTACCTCTTTTTAATTTTCCTTTACTACTTTGTAAACTGGAAGTCTCTGAATTGGAATAGAGGTGAAGGGGGATTTAAAAAAAATCAAATATTTATTGTGTTCCAGTCTTTGCACACATTGAGCAAGCATGTGACCTCTGGTTAGTTTACTCAAATGGTACCTCTGCTGAGTAAGAGGACGTGGGTCTGAGTTATTATTATTCATTTATTTTTATTTTCTTGGTTGTATCTTGGTTCATTTCACAGTCAGTCAAAGTCCTGGGATCCTTGAGAAGGGTCAGGTAATATAAAAGTGTCCAGAATTTTTTTATTGTCATGTCTGAAGCCACTGGATTTGTTTTAACACACAGCATGAAAAATTACATAAGTCCAAGAACATATTTCTCAGTACCCACACACAGTTGAAAGTCCAGTAGGAGAATACTGCCTCTTCACAGGTGTATTATCCATTTCTATCTTCAGTGTACTTTGCAGATAGATTCTACTTTAATATATCCGGTCTAGTATATTTTGGGGCTTCCCTGGTGGCTCAGATGTAATGAATCTGCCTGCAAGGCAGGAGACCCAGTTTCAATTCCTGGGTCGGGAAGATCCCCTGAAAAAGGAAATGGCTACACACTCCAGTATTCTTGCCTGGAGAATCCCATGGACAGAGGAGCCTGGTGGGCTACAATTCATGGGGTTGCAAAGAGTCGGACAAAATTGAGGGACTAGCATTTTCACTTTTTCCTTTTTCAATATATTTTAGTGAAATGAGAGAAACATCATCTGCCATGATAAGTAGAAGTCTTCTTTACTCTGTTGAGTATCACAGAGAATTGGTAGAAACTGTTATTGAATTGAGGCACCTGTTTTGTTGGTATGTGATTCATTTCAGTTTTTCAGATAAACTCTAAAGCAGGATGAGAGACCAAAGAGTAACGGAACAGGAATCATCATACTTTTGTAGCACCTAAAGATAATGTGTTTCAAAAACTTACAATTACTCTAGCAGCTTAATTTGATTGGCACAGATGGTAAAACAGGAACAACATGGAGCCTTAGAATGTGCTCCTAGATATCCTTTATTCAACAAATATTTATTGTGTTCCAGGTGATGTCCTCCTCACTGAAGATAAAATAGTGAAAAGGACACATGGTTTCTTCCCTTTCAGGGTATATGTCTTAGAGGAGACTAAAAGAACAAGACTATGCAGAAACAAATTTAGTAAATAAAGGTCAATTGAATAAAAGCCTTATCAGGTTGCATCAAGTACAATGAATTTTTTAAAATCAGTTCAGTTCAGTTCAGTTGCTCAGTCGTGTTCGACTCTTTGCGACCCCATGAATTGCAGCACGCCAGGCCTCCCTATCCATCACCAACTTCTGGAGTTTACTCAAACTCATGCCCATCGAGCTGTGATGCCATCCAGCCATCTCATCCTCTGTCGTCCCCTTTTCCTCCTGCCCCCAATCCCTCCCAGCATCAGGGTCTTTTCCAATGAGTCAACTCTTCACATGAGGTGGCCAAAGTACTGGAGTTTCAACTTCAGCATCAGTCCTTCCAATGAACACCCAGGACTGATCTCCTTGAGGATGGACTGGTTGGATCTCCTTGCAGCCCAAGGGACGCTCAAGAGTCT